AGGATGCACATAAATAGAGGAATAAACTGGGCATAGTGGCACTCACTTGTAATTCCAGCTTCTTGGAAGCAGGAAGATCATAAGTTTAATGTCAGCCAGGGCAACTTAGCAAGACCCTATCTCAAAATAAAAAATTTTAAAAAGTAGGGTATGTAGCTTAGTGATAGAGCATTTGCCTAGAATGTGTGAGGCCCTAGGTTTGATCTCCAGCATTGAAAAGATAGATAGATGGGCTGGGGGTGTGGTTCAGGCGGTAGCACGCTCACCTGGTATGCGTGTGGCCTGGGTTCGATTTTCAGCACCACATACAAACAAAGATGTTATGTCCGCCGAAAACTAAAAAATAAATATTAAAAAAAAGAAAAGATAGATAGATAGATAAATGGGGGAATGAATTAGGTAAAATACACTTATCAAAGTTAGTAACAGGAAAATCATTCTTGATTTGTTGTTGGGAAAGAGGAGGGTTTGTTACTTCTATTTCCTTTCATTAACATAATTGGGCAGAGTACAGCACCATGGTTTTGTTTTTTCTGTTTTTTTTTCTCTTCTTCAGAATTATTTATCTGTTTTAAAAAATAAGCAATTTTTATAACCTATTTCATAGCTCTTTTAAATCATCTTGTGGCCATTGACAGTCGAGGAGGCCTGTAGCCACCGTTTTCTTTCTCATACAAATAGTGGCTTTCTGAGGCAGRTTATAGGCCATTCATTCTTGCCTCGAAGTACACAGATGTGGCTCTAGCCTTTGATTTTTGTCTAGAAAACTGAGGTTTCCCAGGGTTTTTCCTTTAAGGTTAATCTGATTGTTTTCCTAGATGCTATAGGTGTTCTTGCAAAACTTGCAAGTTTTGAAACTGTTATAATTATTATGATCTATAAATCATTTTCCATGTTTATCTTTGTTCTTTTCCTCTGTTCTGATAAACATTCTTGAGCTGGTCTTTTCAACATTGTAATATTTTTCTTAGTCATTCTACAATTGGAGCCTTAAATTCCTTTTTTTTTTTTTTTTGGAGTGCTGAGACTACAACCCAGGGCCTCTTACATGCTAACTAACATGCTAACATTGAGCTACATCCTCAACCTATATTTCTTTAAGGGGGGGGAAAAAGAAAAACAGATTTATTGAGATATAATTCACATACCATAGTTTGCACATTCATCATGAACAGTTTAGTAATTGTATGTTCACAGAGTTACACAACTATCACCACAGTTTTAGAACATTTCATCACCTCAGAAAGAAATCATGTGTGTACTCATCATCAGCCACTACCCATTTCCTCCCAACCCCTCCTTCAACCTCAGTCTATGACTAATCTATTTTATGTCTCTATAGATATGCTTATTCTGGATATTTCATATAAACAGAATCATATAATATATGGTCTTGATAATATTTGAATTATAGCTTCTTTTACTTAGTATAATGTTTTTGAAGTTCATCCATGTTGTAGCATGTATCAGTTCTTCATTTTTTATGGCTGAATAATTTCCATTTATTATTATACCATATATTTTTATCTGTCCATTCATCTGTTGCTGAGTATTTGGCTTGTGTCCATTTTGAGGCTCTTACAAATAATAATAATATGAGCATTCATATATGTTTTAGTGTGGACACATGTTTTCATTCTCTCCATCACATACCTTGGAGTAGGATTGCTGGGTCATATGGTAACTCTGTGTTTAATCTTTTGAGAAACAACCAGACTGTTTTCCAATATGGCTGCACAATTCTGCATTCCCACCAGCAGAGCATGAGGGTTCTTATTTCTTTATGTCCTTTCCAACACTTGTTATTATCTGACTTTTTGATGACAGCCACCTGATACTAGAATATGCTTCAGCCAAGTCCTCTGCCACTTTATAACAAAGATTATCTTTTCTTTCGAGTCCAGTAATATGTACCTCATTTCCTTCTGAAATCTAATGGAAGAACCTTTAACATTCACATTCCTATCAGCCTGTTCATGATGATATATGTACTCCTTTAGGCAACAGAAGCTTTCTCTACCATCTTCTTCCATCTGAGCTTCCATATTTTTACCATAGAGTCTTCAAGTCATCTAAGCTTTTTGTTTTCATGCACCTCAGAATTCTTCCAACCTCTACCTACTACCCGATTCTAAAACCACTTCCACATTTTTAGTTATTTTTTATAGCATTTCACTTCTGGTACCAAAATATATGTTAGCTTCCTGGGGCTGCAGTAACAAAGTACCATAAGATGGGTAGCTTCAAACAACTGAAATTTATTTTCTCATACTTCTGGAGCCTAGAAGTGTGAAATCAAGGTGTCAGCAAGACCCTGCTCCTTTGGAAGTCTCTAGTACAGAATATTTCCTCTCTTCCTAGTTTCTCATTGTTGCCAGAAATCCTTGGTAATCTTTGTCTTGCAGCAGTTATCACTCCAGTCCCTACTTCAATCATGACATGGTCTTTTTCCCTGTGTGTGTCTGTGTCTTCATGTGATCTTCTTTAAAAAATACCAGTCACTGGATTTGGGGCTTAGTCTGATCCAATATACCCTTATCTTGACTTGATTAGGTCTTCAAAGACCCTATTCCCAAAGAAGGTGGTATTCACACCTACAAGGGTTTAGGACTTGAACTTACCTTTTGAGGAGATACAGTTCAACCCACAACAGGTAGTTTGTCTTTTTAACATTTTTTTCATCTAAGCAACCTAATCTCTGGGGGATTGATTTCAGAATGCTAGTCGATACCCAAAATCCATGTATACTTAAATCCATTATATAATATTTCCACATAATCCACACCTATCATCTCTAAGCCAGGCATGGTAGTAGACAGCCTAATTCCTGGTACTTGAGGAGGATAAGGCAGGAGGATTGCTTGAGGCCATGAGTTCAAGATTAGCCTGGGTAACATTTGAAACCCTGTCTCAAATAAGTAAATAAATAAATAAAATTTAAAAGTCACTAATACAATGTTATACATTGTATTCTTTAGGAAAAAAGTCTGTATTTGTTCAGTATATACATATCTTTTTTTCCAAATATTTTTGATCCTCTATTGAATCCATGGATACAATATCTATATATATAGTTGTTCATAACATTCTCTTATTTTGTATTTCCATAGGTTGGTAGTAATATTTTCTCTTTCATTTCCAACTTTGCTAACTCAAGCCTTCTTTTCTCTTTTCTTTTTTCTTGGTCAGTCTAGCTAAATTGAGTTCATAAATTTTGTATTTTGTTGATCTTTTCCAAAAATTAATTTTGATTTTGTTGCTTGATTATTTTTTCTGTTCTCTATTTTATTACTTTCTGCACTGATGTTTTTCTTTTTTTGTACCAGGGATTGAACCCAGGGGTGCTGAACTACTGAACCACATCCCCAGCCCATTATATTTTTTATTTTGAGACAGGGTATTACTAAGTTGCCCAGGCTGGTATGTAACTTGTGTTGATCCTGCCTTAGCCTCCTGGGTCACTGGGATTATAGGTGTGTGCCATGCCCAGCTCTATCTTTTGTTTTCTTTCTTTTCTTTTTTTTTTTTTTTTTGTGTGTGTGTGTGTGTGTATGGTGTTGGGAATGGAAATCAGGGTTTCATGTGCTAGTCAAGTGCTCTACCACTGAGCTATAGCCCCAGCTCTTCTTTTCTTTTTTAGTTATAGATGGACACAATTCCTTTATTTTATTTGTTTGGTTTTTTATGTAGTGCCAAGGATTGAATCCAGTGCCTCACATGTGCTAGGAAAGCATTCTATCACTGAGCCACAACACCAGTCCCTATCATTCCCACCCCCACTCCTCTGGATACCAGGAATTGAACTCAGGGGCACTTGCCCACTGAGCCACATCTCCAGCCCTATTTTGTATTTTATTTAGAGACAAGGTCTCTTTGAGTTGTTTAGTGCCTCGCTGTTGCTGAGGCTGGCTTTGAACTCGTGATCCTACAAGCCACTGGGATTATAGGTGTGTGCCACCATGCCTGGCTCTATCTTTTCTTATGGTCTCTCTTTTTTGTGATTGTGTGGTGCTGGGGATTGAACCCATTGCCTTGTGCATACGAGGCAAGTACTCTACCAACTGAACTATATCCCCAGCCCTGCCCCAGTCTTTGTAGAAAAAAGATGAACAAAATCAGAGACATGCAGCTTTTTGTTAGGATACTTTATTGTTTCTCTCTCTCTCTCTCTCTCTTTCTCTCTCTCTCTCTCTCTCTGGATATGTCTTCTTTAATGGCACTTGGCTTGGGCCTCAGGAAAATCACTAGTCAATTCAGACATTCCTAGACTCCTGAATGAAGGAATGGATTGGGGAGAGTTTGTCATTCTTCACGGGGTCCTGGGAAAGTGGTCCACAATGCTGCTGGTAATGTGGCTCAGTAGGGGTGGACCAGGCTAAGGAAGAGATGGTTTAATTCACTCTGGGCCTCTCTGTGTCCTTAAATTACACTTAATTATTTTCAATCATTTTCTGCAGGTTGGGTACTTTTGTTATTGTTGTTTTTGTGGGTTTTTTTGTTTGTTTGCTTTGTTTTATTTGTATAAGGTAATCTATGTTCTATTATTTTCAATCAGCTTTCCTCTCTGCTGGTTGGATACTTTTTATTTGTTTGGTGTTTTGTTTTGTTTTTTGATATATTTGTATAAAGTAATCTATGTTGGGTGTGTGTGTTCTGAATGACACAAGTGAAATTGCTTTATAATTTGTACAACACTCTATTCTAAGACTTTTTCACAGCACAGAAAAAAAGATGCACATTTAACATTTGTGTTTAATTTTATGGCATAAACTGGATGGATGGGCAAAGATTGTTTTGGTAGTTTCATACAGGGGGCTGCCTCAGGCTGTGTTCTGAGAGGACACACTTTTCCCAGATAGTCTAAGTTCTAGGCTGGGAGAGTTCCATTGGCCTAGGAAATGCCCTGTGAATGGTCTTCTCTGCCTGTAATCCCCCAACCACTGCAAGACTGGTCTTCCAGGCCTAGATTGGGAGGTGTGATGACTGTGGTGTCTTCCTAGGGTGTCTGTGAGGAGATGACATATGAGGAAATTCAGTATCATTATCCACTGGAATTTGCCCTTCGGGACCAAGACAAGTACCGGTACCGGTACCCCAAGGGTGAGGTAGGTGGGATTTGGGTCTTATTCCAACTACCTAATACCTATCTGGGAATACTGCCTGTGACTGAGGACCTGTGGTATGTGTTTCATCTCTACCACTTCCTAGCTCTGTGGTCCCAGGCCTCTGCCCCCTCCTTGGTTGGTGGGTGGACAGTATTACATAGAGCAGGCATCCAACCCTGGGAGCTGTTGAATCCCTGCTCCTTGTCCCTGTTTTCCTCATTTCCAGGGTGGAGGCACAACAGAGCCTGGCTCTGTGTGGTTTGGCTTCGTTTATGGTCTCCTTACATTCCTAGCTCCTTTGCCAGGAAGTTGTTAGCCCTTCCTAGGGTGCTCAAATAGCCAAGTAGTAGGGACACATGCCAGGCCTGAGACTTAGGTCTTAGCCCATTCATGTCTCAATGCTGGGCCTTTGCTTTCCCTATGGATGCTTCCGATCATTACAGGGTGATCCTGTCCTCTCTACAGCTCTAGGCACCACCCCAGCCTTGGTTCCAGACCCAGAGGCACCTTCCCCAAATAGATTTTGACCACTATAAGTGATGTGCACTTGTCACCTTCCCTCCAATAGAGTCCCTGGTCAGTCTAGGCCCCAGGTCAGAAACTGGGGGGTCACTTTTCACTCATACAGCTCTTCTCCCTTCCAGGAAGTGGCCTGAGGTAGAAGTTAAATAAAAATACCCCTCCCATAGACACATAGTCCACATGCTTGTACACACAAAGACACACCTTCACCTAGTTGCCAGACTCACAGACTGCTATACTGCCCTCTGGAATAGGAATAGTGTAGCTCTAGGTAACTTGGTCATGTTCCTCACATCATGCTGTGAGACAGAATTCAGATTTAGAACCAATCATATAGGAATAAAGAGAAACAAAGCAGCTGACTGCTCAAATTTGGGAATGTAGGGAGAAAATTAGTTACCAAAAGAATTGATCCAAGTTCTGCCTAGAACTAGGGGCCAGCATAAATCAATGTATTGGTATTGCTTCCGAGTCAAAACWTGGGGCAAATTCAACCATGGATACTTTATTTTAAAGGACTACTCATTATATTCAGAGAAATAAAACTCCCTCAAGGCTTAAGCCCAATTCTCCAAACATAATGAGTTTTGATTAGGGGACCAGCAAGGGTCCAAATTACATATTACCACAGAGGTAGGGGAAGGCAGAGGGCAGACTGTGAGGGTTGTTCCTAGAAACCTCATGTGTTTCTGACAGTACTCTCCAGAAATTCTGGGGCCTTTGTTCCCCTTCTCTACCACCCTTGTCTGCTGTGAGCTGAAAGCAGGTTGCATCTTGCATTTTTTCCATCAGCCACAGTTGATAGAAGGTGAATTTCCATAGGGTTCAGTGTATGTCCCCATGAGTGGGTGTGAGGTGGTCCTTTGGGATAGGAGCTTGAGGCCTGGCTCTGGGAAGAGGAGGTGGCTCCTTTCCCACATTGCCCATTCCTACTTGCTTCCTTCTCAAGCCAGACATCTTACTGGCAGTCTTCTAGGGGCATCTACCAACTCTATCCCCTCAGAAGCCAGGCTGGAAGAGGGTTAGCCACAAATTTCTGAATGGTGGGCAGCTCTAGGAATGGGAAGGTAGCCCATTGCCCAGGATGCTTCTGTTCCTACCTACTCTGGAATCCAGGCCTGAGAGACAACCTTCCTGTTTGCCCTTATAGTCCTATGAGGACCTGGTCCAGCGTCTAGAACCAGTCATTATGGAATTGGAGAGGCAAGAGAATGTGCTAGTCATCTGCCACCAGGCTGTGATGCGGTGTCTTCTGGCCTACTTCCTTGACAAAGCAGCAGGTTAGGGGTCTTGCCTCTGGGGAGGTGGGGTGTGTGTGTGTGTGTGTGTGTGTGTGTGTGTGTGTGTGTATGAAAAAGAGGGACTGTCACCTGGGCATGTTATCCATTCCCTTCTTTGTCCACAGAACAGCTTCCCTACCTCAAGTGTCCACTGCACACAGTTCTGAAGCTGACTCCTGTGGCTTATGGTAAGGGAGTGTCCCACAGTTGATCTTAGCTCTCTCTAGCATTTTGTGATTTTTGGCAAATCACTTGAAAATTCCATTAGAGGCCYATTCCTCCAGTCCCTGTACCACTACCATTCCCAATTTGCTGTTTAAGTTTGTTATTTAAAAGTTTATGTTGAAATGGGACTCTGTCACACATATCTATAATCCCAGGAATTTGGGAGGCTAAGGTGGAAGGATCATAAGTTTGAGCCCTCCCCCAAAAAAGAGGGGAAAAAAAAGGCCGAGGATGTTGCTAAGTGTAAGAGCCCTTGCCTAGCATGTGCAAGGCCCTGAATTCAATCTCTAGTACTGGGGCGGGGTGGGGGATGTTTATGTGACCTCAGGAAGTGTCTCTAATGATCCTTCCTTAACCATTACCCACCTGTATGAGGGCCTTTTCTACTGGTGTTTCAAAAACCACCCAAACACCCATGACCCCCAGGACCTGGATCTTAAAATGTTCTGGGTACAGGGCAGTTTATATCTCACTCGTGCCTCTCACTACACTAACAGAGAGCTCAGGCAGCTTTCTGGTTTGGGTGTTAACTCCTCTGATACAGGTTCTCATTTGAGGATGAAGCTGTATGGGCAGCTAATTTCATTCCAATGTGTGATAACCTCCCCCTTGCACTGAGCACCCAGCACAAATTGATTTGACCTTGTGTGGCAGGGTTAGGGTTATCAGTGGTTTGAGGACCCCCCCACAAATAAGTGACCSCATGTTGAGCTTAAGCCTGTTACTGCTCTGCTCTTGGTCCCTGCGTAGGCAGCTTGGGGCCTCTGGGTGGAGCTGTCTGGGCAGTCATACATGGATAAGCACAAGACTGACAAGATACCATCTCTTTCCTAATCTTTCCTGATTGGCTCCTTAGGGCTACCTGAGGTGGGAGTACTAGTACTAGAGTAAAGCTGAGATAGCTGCTCCATTCCACAATCCATAACCTCCTCCTGAGATAAGATTTTGTCCTCTGTCTCCAGCAGTCTTTCCAGGGAGGGGGAACTAAATTTTCCTCTTTTCTGACAGGTTGTAAAGTGGAATCCATATTCCTAAATGTGGCAGCTGTGAACACACACCGGGACAGGCCTCAGGTAGTACTGGAGTCACTGCTGGGATGGCAGGCATGTTGCCCAGAGGTGTTGAGACTCTAAATCTTTAAGGCCAGCTTGGGTGCCTGCCAGAAGGAGCTCAAATCTTTTGCCAAGGCTGTTTTCTGCCCAGATAGTTCCCCTGTCCTTGGGTGGGGCTGTGTCTTGGTTAGCTGCTCTAGGGGTAGGGGAATCCCTGGGGCTGGGCCACCATGTCAGTAAGCACCTGAATTTGGGTATGGTTGACTGCCAGTTCTTGAGAAGTCACACAGCTCCCAGTAGCCCCACCATAGAGGTCTGAGACAAAGAGGAGCAAGTGGAGATTTTTGTATCTTCTACCAGCCCAGGCCTTGTGTGAGCATCATTTCTGACTAAAGTGCCTTTGAACATAAGAACAGTATCATGTTTTGTTGGGGAAGATGCTGAGGAGCCTAGCTGTAGGCAGAACACTGCTTCCAGAAGGACAGCTCACTACCTCTGTTCCCCAAGGGCCTTGTTCATGGTGGTGAAGCTCCTCTAAGTGCTGCCCAGTACCAGTTTCAGTGACTATGTGGGGGTCCTTTCATAGTAGCCAAGGAGAGGACCCCTCCCTTCCCTTCTGGAGTCCACTGCACCAGGAAGACTTCTGTGGCCTTAGTCATATCTGTTGCCATTCATGGTAGCACATACATGGACTAGGGTCTTTGCTGAGGTGCCCCTGCTCACCTTCAGCTCCTTAGTCTTGAACGCTGCAGAGATAGTAATGTGTCCTATTCCTTCCCAACGTTGCTTTCCACAACCAGGACCAGTCACCATGCAGGCCTCTTTTCTCTTTGCTCTGGGAATCTTTGTCTTGACCAAGTTTGAACCAGGCTGTCTAGCACCCACAGGTCACAGGGGAAGGCATTCTTTTTTTTTTTTTTTTTTTTAATTTTTTGTTTTAATTAGTCACACATGACAGTAGAATGCACTTATATACTTTGATATATCATACATAGATGAGATATGATTTCTCATTTTTCTGAGTGTACATATTGTAGAATCACATTGGTTATACAGTCACATGCATACATAAAGTAATGTCTGTTTCGTTCTACTATCTTTCTTATCCCCACATCCCCTGCCAAGGGAAGGCATATTCTACCAGGCATCCTTTTCACTGAGGAAAGCTCAGGTGGTGTTGGGCCCCCAGCACTGATAGGGTAATGGTGAGTGAGGTCCCTGGATCTGGCAGCCTTTGGGGCCCATGGCCATGCTCTGGCTGATAGTCTGACAGTCTCAGGATGCATACTTATGAAAAAGAGTTACTATTGTTGGCCATAGGTTTCCAGACAGTTCCCTTTCAGGGAGATAGGATCCTATAGTTTCCTGGCTCATCTTTGGGGTTGAGATATAGTGGGAATGGGGGCCCTCAGGAAACCTACCTCAAGGTTAGAAATATACCTGCCCCTACAATTCCAGTGGCTGGTCTGTGAGCCCATGGTATAGGTCAAGGGGGCTATGTCTCTTTCCCTGTGGATCTGAGCATCACATTGCACAAGGCTGCAAATCAAATCATTGGTGACCTGCTCCTTCAGGTGATAGTTATCACGACCCTCAGGTGGGAGGAGGGGCACAAGAATAGGGCTTATGTAGGATAGCCTCGTAGAACTGAGGGGAGTCTGAGGACCCCTGTTCTCAGCAGGTCAAAGATGGGTTCTATAGTTTAGTAGGGGCCATCTATAGTTGAAAGCTTCAGGGGACTGTGCTCCAGCCCTGAAAGAGCAGACCAGGCTGTAGACTAGGAGATGTTCATGGACTTCTGGGGCCATGTCTGACACCTGTGCTCTGACAGAGCCAGGAGGGAGGCACCCCCTAGGAGCTTAACTCCCTCCCTGTCCCCACTAATGAGGACTCAGGCTCTAAGCCAAGGGTTCCTCTATACGTGACCCAACCCTGAGACAGGAGTTAACCTTGCTTTGTCTAACCTGTAGGTCCTTGTAACTGAAAGCCTTGCTTTGACCTGCCTATAATAGAGCAATGAGCTGAGTGACATTCCCCACCCAACCTTTGCCCTATTGTCTGAGCACCCATTGTGTGTCAGGAAGCTTGTGACTACATTCTTAGGGAAGCTAAGGGTCTAGAGTCCTGTGGCTGAGTCTCCTGAGATGAGAATGTATACCTGTCCCATCTGGCCACATGAAGGAAAGCAGGCAGTAGGTTTCCTATCTATCCTGCTGCAGGATGAATGTTCTGTGTTTTTATTGTGCAGAATGTAGACATCTCTCGGCCTCCAGAGGAAGCCCTTGTCACAGTCCCGGCTCACCAGTGACCATTTCTCATCCACTGCAACCCCTGGGCAGGCATTGAACTCTGCAGAAGATCTGTGTATGTGACAGTCACCATGCAGAAATACTCTCAAAGCAATGTATGGCTGGCAGCACCCAGAGTCCCTGCCCAGCTCACCTGCCTCCTTGTTGATAGTCTGTAACAGGGTGGGCGTGGCTGCTAACCTGCTGCTAAGAATCACTGGACTAGACTATGCCACGTCGGTGGACTGAGGCTGCCCAGCAGCTGGTCTCTTTGTTGCAGCTTTCAGGTGGTTACTCTCCAAAGGCCAGATGGCTTTGTGAAGTGTATATCCCTAAATGTGAAGCAGAAAGTCTCATTGAGATGTTGTCACTGTGGCCCAATTGTCTGGGGCTGACCAAGTGACACCCTGTAGGACCTTTACTACCTGCTCTGTGGCCTCTTGCTGAGCCAGTGGCCAGGTCTTCATGGGTCCCTGAGCATCTGCTGCCTCAGGTGAGCGGGAGGGCCTTCCCCATCCTTCCCATCCAGGAATTGAAGAGAAGAAGACACTGACCAGGTCCTTGGGTCCATATCACTCATATTTGTGGACACTCCTGAAAGCAACACACTGTTTTAGCATCTTGTGATGCTGTAGAAACATGTCGGACGAAGAGTATTTGTGACCACCCCTTCCTAACTGTGCATACACTGGAATATGGGCAAGCTGGTGGCCAAAGCCACCCCTTCCCACAGGTCATAGTGCAACCATGTAAAGACTGGGTAGTTGTACAAGTTACCTTTCTGGTGCATACACCGAAGTGCTCAAGGGGAGGGCCGAGTCTCCCCTTCCCTGGCTATGTCCACCGGTAGCCAGGGACGAGGTTGCCTCTTGCCTGTTGCAGCTTCTGTCCACACAGGAATGTATATTGGTGGCAGAAACATGCATTTGCCATAAATCGTTCAGAAAAACTTGTGGTCCTATAAAATCTGTCCTGATGTTTGTTGACCTCTACCTGTGAGATTGAGGAAGGGAGAGGACAGAGGTAGCCCCTGGCCAAGAGAGAATTTCTCCAATTGCATCACAACTTTGATTCATGTGCATATGAGCCTGGTGAAAATAGCTTTACAAAGTCTGACATCTGTCATGGCCCTGAGTTGTTCTGGGTCCAGGCAGTGGTTTCTGCATCCTTTTTATAGCTGGCCAACAGCCCAGCCAGTCAGGTTGTGGGTCAGGACTGGAAAGTGTCTGGAAGGACTAGTTGTCAGATGCCACACGTGGGCATTGGTGAAGCCATGCTCCTGGATTCCCAAGCCCATTTTGTATCTGGAATCTTTCCATGCCTGTGCCTGGCTAGAGCAGCCTATCTTTTCCAGCCCCCTTAACTTTGCAGCCTGTCAGTACCACCTGTCCCTGAGAGGAGCCACTTTCCCTGTCCCTGGCCAGTGGTCTCTCATCCTTGTGTGCTGTAGCATCTTTGAATAAATACAGGTAGAGAGATTTCTGGGATAGGATCCTTCTGGAATCATTACCTATTGGACCACCAAACCCCAACCTGAAGCCAGAGGTCCAAACCACTGCCTTTGAAACATGGAGACTGAAGCCTTTGCTTCTGTGTCCCTTGAAGTTTTGGTGACTTTTGACACCTCCTGAAAACACTTATTAGCTATAGCAGATCCCTTTGGCCAGTGGCTGTGCATTTACATTTCAATGTCACCTGAGGCAAGACCACTGAAGCCTTGGTTCTCCCCATATAGAGAAGAGGCAGGAGCTGCTGGACATGGATGTATTTCAAGGACTAGGGATAGGGCAGAAGGAAGTCTGGGGTCAGGGCATGTGCAAGGATGAGCCCTCTCCCTCAACATTGTCCTGGAGAAGCCTCTGCATAGGCAGCCACAAGCCTGGTTGGCTGCCAGGTAGCTGGGATGGTTGATGTGTCCAAGTTGCAAATGTTTTCCTGCTTTCCTGAGAATGGATGGTATTGAATCTCAGCTACAAATCACACTGTGTCCAGCATTCATTGCAATAAATACCTTTTAAAACATGATAATTTAAGATTGTATTTTGTAGCCAGTTCTCTGCTTTTGAGGTATTCTCTCTGACAGTTCTGTACATGCCCCATATAGAGATCTTTCTTTTTCAATCTGAGTGGGGACCCTTGGTTCAACTCCCACTCCCTGGGGACACCCCTCACTGGAGAGGAATTATGTTGCCTTGGACTGAGCCCCGAGCTACACTCATGGACATGCTGGAGGCCCTCCTTAAAGGGTACCTACCTGGCTCCCTTCAGGGGCCCCTGGGTTCATGAACTGATTTTATCTAGAAAGTTGATGAGGGATCCTCTTTATTGCAGTCAAGATTCTGTTAGCTGAGCCACAGGTTCTGTCATGTAAGTAGAACTCTGCTGGCTTTTCATCTAGTTTTGTTCTGGGGGCCTGATGATTAGTTTCCTACTGTGAAAGATCCTGGCAATTCTGACCTTTCAAATTACCTACAAGCCCTACATGTCCTACATGTCATGGTCTCTGCACCTCTTTCTTCTGGCAGCTCAACACTGCTTAACCATTGTTACTTAGCATTCTGTTATCTAAATTGAAATCTAAGAGCCTCTCCCCCTGCTTTTTTGGGAATACTGGGGATTGAACTGAGGGGCACTCGACCACTGAGCCACATCCCCAGCCCTATTTAGTATTTTATTTAGAGACAGGGTCTCACTGAGTTTGCTTTTGCTGAGGCTGGCTTTGAACTCGCCATCCCACTGTCTCAATCTCCTGAGCTGCTGGGATTACAGGCCTGCGCCACCATGCCATCCCGCCCGCCCCCTTTTGTGTGTGTATGGTACCAGAGATTGAACCCAGGTGTACCGTATCACTGAGCTACATCTCTAGCCCCATTTATATTTTATTTTGACGTAAGGTCTCACGAAATTGCCCAGGCTTCTTGAACTTTCTGTGGTTTCAGTCATTCAGTTTATTGCACTTTGCTATAGTAGTCTAACAAGTTTTCAAAGATGCTCGCCTCAGCAATGAATTTTCCATGGCCTCCGTGAAGAGAGTATTTTCTGGGCCTTTTCTAGGAATTCTGGAAAAAGGTGAGTTGTCCATGATAAAATTTCAGTCCCAACATTTATTTTGAATGAATGACTAGATCTTAAGCACTACATGTACTAGGAAGCTCTGGGCATCTGCTATGGTTTGGATATGGCTTGGCTGTGTCCCCAAGCATTCATGTGATGAAAGCTTGGTCTTCAATGTGTCAATGCTGGGAGGCAGAGGACCTTTAAGAGGTAGACTTCAAACACAGGCCTGGAATTCAAGAGAGTGGGGAGGCTGAGGCAGGAAGATTGTAAATTTGAGCAAACCTTGGCAATATAGTGAGACCCTGTTTCAAAATTTAAAAAAGGGCACTGAGCACAGTGGTACATGCGTATAATTCCAGTGACTCAGGAAGCTGAGGCAGGAGGATTGCAAATTCGAACGAGTATTAGCAATTTAGGGAGGCCCTAAGCAACTTGGCAAGACTCTTGTCTCAAAATAAACAATAAAAAAGGGCTGAGATATGGCTCAGTGGTTAAGTACCCCTAGGTTCAATCCCAAGTACCCCACCCCCTACCACCAAATAAATAAATAAATAAATTTCTGAGCTAAATAAACCTGTTTTATAGCTGAGTGATATAGAGTGCATGCTTAATATGTGTCAGGCCCTGGGTTTAATCCACAGCACCAAAAAATAAAAAATGAACCTCTGTTTTTAAGCCTCAGGTATTTTGTTAGAGCAATGGAAAATGGACTTATACAGTATCTCACTGCATTTAGTGAGATCCAGCTTTCATTCAGCTAACCAAACAGGTATGTAGAACAATCCCCAACAACTTGAGCTAGCACAGTGAACCCCAAGTTTCTGTTAAGTGTACCCATATTGATAAATGTAGCTCAATCTAAACTTGTTCTTTTTGGTCTAGGACTTCCATGTCACACATTTCTTCATATTTTGGCCAATATAAAGTAACAATGTGTTATAATTCTTTTGATGTATAAGCTATCCCTCTGGGTTTGGCTCATGTAATAGAGTCTCCCAGACATGCTCAGATCCATCTCTAGTTTAAGGCATAAGGGACACTAAGAAATTGGGAGGAAGGAACATAAGAATCGTTGACTCCCTTTTGCAAAGCCACATTCCCTCATATCTTTCTAGGACACCTTACTTCAGTGGGCAAGGAAAGTACCAAAAAAACTGGGGGTTAGTGGTGATCTGAATTTTTTGTGTATCTTCATTACACTTAATTAATTAATTCAGCACATTTATTAAGTGCCTACCAAGTGCACTTGGGAATACAGGAGTAAGCACAATGGGTAAATTCCCTGCTGCCTCCAGATAGATGACATTCTAGTGGGGAGAGACACAGTAAACAAATAAGCAAAAGATGTAGCATATTAGAGGGTACCAAAGCCTTGGATTAGGTTATGGAGCATTGCACAGCCACTAGTTAGTTCATAGAAGAGGCTGGGGTGGCTTGGGAAGAACAAAGAAAAGGAGGAAGACTAAGTCTGAGAAGTTATGGAGAGCAGATTATGTTGAACCCTAGATAAAGGAGGACCAGTTCTTTTTGGTCTAGGACTTCAATCTCAGGGTCTTGGAAAGAGTGACTTGACTTGATAAACATTTGAAAATGATCTTTCCTCTGGCTGCTACTGAGTTGTGAATATACTTTTTTTTTTTTTTAAATACTGGGTATTGAACTCAGCGGAACTCAACCACTGAGCCACATCTCCAACCCTATTTTGTATTTTATTTAGAGACAGGGTCTTACTGAGTTGCTTAGCACCTTGCTTTTGCTGAATCTTTCTTTGAACTTGTGATCCTCTGCCTCAGCCTCCTGAGCTGCTGGGGAGAATACATTTTAATGGGGCGAGGACACTTGGGTGGAACCTGCTGCAATAATTCAGATGAAAGACAATGATGCTTCTGGTGGAGCAACTGAGAAGTGGTCAGATTCTGCATCTATTTTTTTATTTTTTGGTGTTGGGACTGAACTCAGGGTCTTATGTATACTAGCATACCAAGCATGAGTTTTACCACTGAGCTGTGCCTCCAGCATCACCCACCCCCATATGTACACATTTTTTTTTTTTTTTGGTACTAGCAATTGAACCCAGGGGCATTTAACCACTGAGCTATATCCCCAGTCCTTTTTATTTTTTAATTTGAGACAGTGTCTCACCAAATTGCTGATGGTCTTGCTAAATTTCTGAGACTAGCCTCAAACTTGGGACCTCCTGTCTCAGCATCTGGAGTTGCTGGAATTATAGGCATGTGCTACCATACCCAGCTTCTATATATATACTTCAGTATATATGTGTGGGAATTGAACCCAAGGCAAGCACTCTACCACTGAGCCGTTGTGCTACACTCATAGTCCTTTTGCATGTATTTTGAAGGTAGAACCAAGATTGCTGACAGTTTGGAGGAAGGCATATGAGAAACATATGCCAAGGGGTGGAAGTACCACCTGTGTACATGGAAGCTTGTGGGAGATGTGGGTCAGTAGTTCAGCCAAAGGTGGTTTAGATGAAATGCCAGTTGGATATCCAAGTGATGTTGACAGGATGATTGCAGCTTCAAGTCTGGTGTTAAAAAGCCTGGGGCTTCAGGTAAGAAATGGCCTCATGGGTGTGTAGATCATATTTGCCTAGCAAGTGAGAGGTCCTGGGTTCAAACCTCAGCACCAAAAAAAAAAAAAAAAAGAAAGAAAATTTAGGCTGTGAATTCAATCAGTATTTTAATCTGGAAACCATAGAATCAGTCCTGGGATTAAATTATAATAATTAGTGCCTTGACATAGAAGCAACCGCTTAACACTACAATCCTGGATTTCTTAGCTCATCATGCTAGTCTTTTTTTTTTTTTTWAATCTTTAATATCTTAATTTTATTTATTTCTATGTGGTGCTAAGGATCAAATCCAGTGCCTCACACATGATGGGTGAGCACTCTACCACGGTGCTACAATCCCAGACCCTCTTCATGCTATTCTAAGGCCTTGTTATAGTTTAGATATTAGATGTCCCCCCAAAGCTCATGTGTGAGATAATGCATGAAAGTTTAGAGGTGAAATGATTGGGTTATAAGAAAGAATCTTAACCTAATCAGTTCATTAATCCAGTGATAAGGATTAAATGGGTGGTAACTGTAGGTAGGTTGGGTGTGGCTGGAGGAAGTAGGTCAATGGGGGTGTGCCCTCGGGTTTATATTTTGTGCATGGGAAGGGGAGTTCTCTGCTTCCTGGCCCCATGTCTTCAACTGCTTTCCTCTGCCACCCACTTCCACCATGATGGTCTGTCTCACCTCAAGCTCCAAGCAATGGAGCCAGCCTTCTATGGACTGAGAACTCTGAAACTATGAGTCCTCAAATAAACTTTTCCTACTCTAATTGTTCTTGTCAGGTCTTTTGGTCACAGCAGCAAAAAAAGCTGACTAAAACACTTGTCTTCAATATGTTCAGGCCTCCTCTGGTGTCGTTTTTTCAATATCAATGTGTGCAAGGAGAAGGTAGCTCACCAACAGCCAATTCTGTTTCTGACAGCAACTTGAGCATCCAATAATTTAATTCAATTCTTATATTAACTCTTGGAGTTAGCACAAACCCCACAGGTTAAGGGCTTAGTCCCTCAAGTCTGCCCACCCACTTACAGTACCAGTCAGAAGTCCAGGGGGGCCATACTTCTTAGTGACTGGCTATAAATCTAGAGTTCCAACAACCCACTCCAGAATGTTAGAAATACCAGAGTGCTGCAAGGACTCAAACTCGTGCTTGGAAGTGGCTTGGCAAGGCAAACTTTACTTCTACAGAAGGGTATGTTACTGAACAGTGTGACAAGCAAGCTCACTTGGGTATGCAGTCTGCCTGTTTTATTCTTTTTAGTTCTATATGACAGTAGAGTATATTTTGACTTATCACATATACATTCTTTTTTTCTTTTTGTACCAGGGATTGAACTCAGGAGTTCTTAACCATTGAGCCATATCCCCAGACCTTTTTAATATTTT